TGTGCTTGGGCGAGTTGTGTCTTTTCTCTGCTTTTCTTTCTTTCTATATTTCCAGGAAATCATGACATTAAAAATGACTGTTTTTCTTATGACGAATATTCATTGTAGGATATTTAGTGAAAATTCACACAATAAAAACTGTGATTCGTTTGTGCTCTCTGAGTTTCTGGGTTTCCTTGCATTTTTCTGGCAGCTTCTATTCTCTCCGGGTGCCTCCAATGCACACATCTCAGCTCCCAGGACGATCTTCCTGCCTGGTGCGGCTGCCTCCTCCACGCCACCCCTCATTACCCGTGGTCTAGGGAGACTTCAGCAGTTCCCACTCCACGCTGCCCAAACAGCTGCTAAATATCTGCTGAAGTAAGAGGAAAAGGTTCGTTATCTTTGGTTATCGCTTTGTTCACCTTCCAGCCTCCCTGTAGTGTGGGTCCTGTCCTGACACAGTGATCCCTGTGGCAAATTCGATTTTCCCCAAACGACCACATCAGCTTTCCACTTCCCGCACACAGGGAGAGCCTCTTCCTTCTTCCTTTGAATTTCCTCACAGGGCTGCTGAGCTGACACAGCGTGAAGCTGAGGCTGGGTTGCGGAAGGTGCCACAGACTCCACCTGGGTTTCTCTCCTGTTTGACGTTCCTGGGAGCCCAGCCCCCATGTTGTGAGGAAGCCCACGTCACCTGGAGAAGTCACAGGCACAGCCACAGTCAGCCACAGCCACAGTCAGCCACGTGCCAGTCCTGGGAGCCACCCTAGCTAACCGTGAGTGGAGCAGAGGCAGGGTGTCCACTCCAAGCCTTGCCCAAATTTCAACTTCAACTAAATAAATGTGTTTTTTTAAGCCGCTGAATTATGGGTTCATTTGTCCCACTGTCGTAGGAACCAGAACGACCTCCAAGGACCTGTCCCACTGTAAAGACTGGCAATCTTATGACTTCTGTCTCCTGGACTCCTCCCAAGTCTGAACACCTTCCCAACGCCCATAGGTCGCAGCGTATCTCGGGCAACCCCATCCACTGCCCCATCAAACCGGCACCTGGCCTGTCTCTTGTTTCCTGGAGCTTGCTCAGAGATAACAGATTCATCCGATCCTCCAGGAAGGGCCGGAGTGGCCTGGCTCCCTGCCCTCCAGCTCTTAGCTCTGCGTCGCTCCTCGCGGGAGCCCTCCCTGCGACATCTCCCGCTGCCTCTCAGCGCTGAGCTTAACACGGTGGTGTCACCTGGGAGGGCTGAGTCTTTCTGTCTCTTCTCCACCAGCCTCTGAGCTCCATCAGGGCCCCAGGGCAGTGATCGCTCCTGTCCTTCCATATCCCAGTGCCAAGCCTAGCCCTGCTCTGGGCCTGGACAGTGCTCAGGACAGGACAGTGTGGGAGCCAGCCCCTGGCCCTGACCCTGGCCCTCAGAGCCAGTGCTGTTGCTTCCCTACCTCACTGGATGTTGCAGGAATGGGTTAGAGATCTGAGGACTGCAGAGAGTTAGGGGTGAGGGGAGAATGAACCAGTCATGGGGGCCCCCGGTATCTCTGAGCGAGCAGAGGAGGAAGGTGGCGCTGGCAGGAAGGACAGGTGCTGGCTGTGGGTTCCAGCCACTTCCGAGGTGCAGACCTGGGGAGAGGAGGCAGGTGGGGCCTGCTCAGGGAGCCCCCGAAGAAGTTCTGACTTGGCTGTGCTCCAATCTGCCCCTGCACATTCCCCACGCCTGAGAGGCGCTTTTTCTCCTCTTTAAAAAGGCACTCCCTGAGCCTGGTGGAATGAGACAAGCATGGAAATCCCTGGGCTGCTCTCAGGGATGGAAGAGGCTGGGCATCCCGGCGGCTCAGGGTGGGACTCGGCCTGCAGAGCCGAGCAGACACCCTCTTTCCTCCTTTTCTTTTCCTTTTGTTCATTTAATTTTTAAAACGTAACAGACTGTGGCTGAGCATGGTGGCTTTCGCCTGTAATGCTAGCACTTTGGGAAGCCAAGACAGGCGGATCACTTGAGCCCAGGGGTTTGACACCAGCCTGGGCAACATGAGGAAACCCCATCTCTGCAAAAAGTATAAACCTTAGCTGGGTGTTGCGGCACACGCCTGTGGTCCCAGCTACTTGGGAGGCTGAGGTGGGAGGATCGCTTGAGCCTGGGAGGTGGAGTCCGCAGTGAGCTATGATCACGCCACAGCACTCCAGCCTGGGCCACAGAGCCAGAGCATGCCTCAAAAAACAAAAAAGTGACAGACTGCAACAAAGGCACACCTAGGCAGAGGCTGCAACAAAGGTGCACCCGAGTAGAGGCTGCACAGGAGCTCCTTGCACTATCCCTGCAACCCACCTTTAGGTTTGAAAATACACAAAAGTAAAAAGTTACAAAAAAGTAATCATCGACTTTAAACATCCAGAAAAGTATAGAGAATAATATAACAACCCTGTCCACACCGTCTAGCCTTAATGATATCTCAACACTTCCCCTTTTTTCCAAGTCTTTTGACTTTTTTAAAGAAAGAAGTTTTCACAAATAGAGTTGAAGCCCCGAGACATAGTTCTAAAGGTGTCCGTGTGTCTGCACACAAGACTCATGGTGTCCGTGTAATCACCTCCTACTGCTTCATAATATCCTATAACCAGTTTCTCAGCTTCCATTCTGCTACCCTACAACTACTCTCCAGTAATTCTATGTGTAAGACCCTCCAAGAACCCCCACATCACTTGGAGCAAAAGCCAGAGGCCCTGCAGCTCACCCCTGATGTCCTCCACCTGGTCCCCACAAACCTCTGGCACCCTCGTCTCCTTGCTGCTCCCTCTAGGCCTGGACAGCTCCAATCCAGGGCCTTTGCACAGAGGTTCCTTTTTTCCAGACCCTCTGCCCCAGATGTCTGTTTGAGCAACCACCTCCATACCCTCAAGCTTGATCTTCAACAGCACCTCTCAACAAGCTCTCTTTTCACTACTTAAAAACCACAGCTCACTCCCACTCCCACAGTATACTTTCTATTTTGTTTCTTTACCCCGCTTTCCTTTTTCTGTGGCCTGTATTACCTGGCTGTGTATGTATGTATGTATGTGTGTAAGTGTGTATGTGTGCATGTATAAGTGTGCATGTATGTGTATGTGTGCATGTATAAGTGTGCATGTGTATGTGTGTGCATATGCACATGTAAGTATACATGTGTGTATGCATGCATGTGTGTATATACATGTGTGTACATATGCATGTGTGTATGTATAAGTGTGTGTGCATGTGCATGCATGTATGCATGTGTATACATGCATGTACGCATATGTATCTGTGCACACATGTATGCATGTGTGTATGTATGCATGTGTGTATGTATGCATGTGTGTATGTGTATGTGTGTGTGTGTATTCCACAGCATGTGTTGCCCTCTGACATGCTGTGCATTTTTCTTGTTTCTTGTATTATTATTAATGGCCTCTCTTCCCCACCAGGAGCCTTGTCTGTCTTGCTCATTGATACATCCCAAGTACCTGGAACAGTGTCTGGTATATTGTGGATGTTTAGTATGTCTTGAGAGGCTCAATGGGTGAATAGTGTTAATTTTCATGGTTTAAAGCTTTATATAAATGGTACCATACTGGCTGCCGTACTCGCTGTGTTGTACTGTGCACTTGCATTTTTGCTCCTCGTTCTGTTTTTGGCATTTATTCTCATTAATCCATGTAGTTCTCATTTATTTTAACTGCCATGTGGTATTTCGCTGTATGTGCCCATTTCTTTATCGCTTCTCCCCGTGTTGGATATTCAGGGTGTGTCAGGTGCTTTGGACACACAGCGTTGTGAGGAATATTCCCTACGCGTCTTCTTGTACACGCATACTTCCTGCGGCAGTTTCTCTCTCACAGTGGATGGCCTATTAGAATGACTAGGGAGTTCTGAGCTATTAGTTTGTTTCCCGAAATTCTGGTTCAGCTGATCTGGTCTGGGTTCAGGGCCGCAGTAATTTGTTTTCTTTTAAAGACATTCCTAATGACTTCAACGACAGCTAGGGTTGAGAACCACGGCTCCCGGCTCTAAGGAGCAGATCTGTGTTCGTGTTCTTGGGCATATCTAGAAAGAAAACATTGCTGGCTTGTCCTCTACGGCTCCAGTTTTCCTAAAGTTTGCTTTCAAAGTGGCGGCACCACGCGTGATCCCAGCGGCGAATGCAGACTCCCACGTTTTCATTAACACTCTTTATTTGATCCTCGGGGTTTTCCGATAGGATGAGGGTGAAACGCATCCTCTTGTTCCCACAGCATGCCCCTAATTCCAGGGGCTGAGTTTATTGGTCGTTAAAGCATCTTCTTTTGTGAAGGGACCGCTGATGTCCTTGACATAAAGATGTTAAAAATACATTTAGAAGGATCTTTATTTTTTTCCTGCTGCCGTACGAGGAACCCGTGTTTCCTTGCCCTTCTTTCCAGCCGCAGATTTTACTCAGAACAACTTCAGTGCTGTGGACACAAAAACGCAGGCCTTGGACAGGCCGGTCAGCCCTGCCTCGGGGCTGCTGATGAGGTGCCGGATGCGTGTGTCCCTCGTTTACTGGTTCCTCGCAGACGGGGTTGAAGCACTCTGTGCCACCCTCTGAACACAGAGATCCAGGGCTGGCTGGCCCTGCGGCCCCGAGGAGCTCCGTCACCGGCCAGTGGGGAGGCGAACCCGTGGCGACCCACCCAGAGGCACTGCCAAGGGCTGAGCGTGGCGCCAGCGGCGGGAGGCCGGGGTCACCGTCCCAGGCCGGGCTCCCACCCGCGTCCGCAGGGTCCTCTCCAGGCACCTTCCATCTGGGGTCTGGCTTCCACTCCCGGCCGCGGCGTCCTGATGTCCACAAACCAGGCGGCGGCTGGAGGCGGTGGAGCGGAGAAGGGGGAACGGGGGCAGCGGGGGAGGGAGGAGAAGAAACGGGCGAGAGGGAGAGGAGGGCGAGGAAGGGCGCGAGGCGGGCGGAGCGCGGGGAGGCGCAGGGGGCGGGAAGGGGCGGCGCCGCGAGGGCGGCTCCTGGCGGCAGGACCGGGCTGTGGCCCCGGGAGAGCCGGGTGGGGCGTCGGGATGCAGCCGCCGGTGTCCGGGCCCCCGGGCCTGCTGGACGCCGCAGGTGAGCGCGGGGCTGGGGCGTCTCTCGGCTCCTGCGGGGGAGCGTGGGGACCCTGGGGCTGGGAGCGCAGGTCCGCGGCCGGCCCGGGCGGAACCTGTGCAGAGACGCGCCCGGGGCCTGGGCCCTCCCCCTCCTTCGAGCTCTGTCTTTGCAACACTTTGCACTGCGCACGGGGTAGGGCGTCGTGCATTCCTCAGTCCCTCGTTCTCTCTCCCTCTGCCTCCTCCGCCTTTGCCTTTCTCTGACTCTGTCCGTTCCTCTTCGCCTCTCTCCTGTTCTGTTTCATGATGAAGAACAGGCGCCCCAAAGTGCGCTCCTTCCCTGTCCCTCCCGTGCGTTCCAACCTACACCGTTTTCCGGGGACGCTTCCTTTTGAAGAGCCTGGGAACGTGCGGAGGCGCTCGCGGAACCGGACCGTGTTGCCTGGTTTCAGGCGCCCCCTCTCGTGCCTCTCCCCAGTGTGTTCACGGAACCTCCGGTCCTTCCACTTCCCAGATCACGCCCGCGGCAGCCGTGGAGCCCGGCGCGGGCTGGGAAAACAGGAAACCTGTTGCGTGTCCGCAAGTTCGCAGGCCGGGCTCGGGGGCTGCGCTGGGAAGTGGCCAGGACTGGAACGATGCGGGCGTTTTCCAGACGGGGAGAGGGCTGCGCGGATTTCAAAACGACGGAGACACAGAGTTCCCTAGAAAGGGAAGCTCTGACGGCTGCAGGGAGGGGTGGCGTGGTGTCTCGGGGGCTCTGCCGCTGCCTCAGAAATAATCCAGCACAAACTGCTGGGGATTAACCTCACAACCCTTTTACTGGGGCATCTTTGGGAAGTTTCTAAAAACCGGACGAGTTACTGTTGTTTAAAATAATCAAAGAATTTGGCTTCTTTCTGAAAGAAACCACTATATTCCTTCCACTCTCTAAAGCAAAATGCTCTGTGGTCAAACGTGTTAATGTGGATTCGACTGTTAGTGTATCCTAATGATAACTATTTATTATTATTTATTAACTAGTTTTATCGTTATTATATTAGAATGCCTTGAAGGTTTAAAAATAGCATTTGACTTAGATTTTCTTCTGACAAAGAACTTGAAACCTGAAAACGTAATACTTGGAGCCGGTCTTTTTAGTATATGAAACATTGGTGTATCTGGGGTAGGGTTGTGGGTCTTTTTGTTTGGAGCTGGTCTTTTGCTAAAATGTATGAAGTGTTGGTGTGTCTGGGGGTGGATTCTGGTCTTTCTGCTTTGGGGTATCTGGGGGTGGGTTATGGCCTTTCTGCTTTGGGGTATCTGGGGGTGGATTATGGTTTTTTCTGCTTTGCCCTTCTTTGTTCACTACCCTGGGCATGTGTAAAATCAGGACAAAAGAGAAATTGATGGCTGGGTGATTACAGTTTTACCTGGGATTATTACTTGGACACCATGACTGGTGTCCCCACATGATTAAATGGAACTCACTCTTCTTTTTGGGCGTTCCAGGCCCTGCTGGCAGGAAGGCCAGATCTTGGAACCCTTCCGAGCAGTGCCACCTCCCATGCTTTGTGACATTCCCCTTCCTGGCTCTGTGGAGTGGAGGAAGTGGGTCTGAGGGGCAGGGAGAGCCTGACCTCCAGCCTCGCGTGTCTTCCAGGCAGAACCAGGCGTGGGCACAGGCTCCTGTGGTTCAGCTCCTCCAGCTAAGGCTGGGGTGGGAGCCAGGAAGGGGAGAGCAGGTTGGGTGGGAGAACTGGGGGCTGGTGGGGAGTGACAAGGTGATATTCTGGGATATCCTAGATGGGCTGCACCTGGGGAAGACTAGAGTTAGAAAAATCAGCGCACACAATAGCGGAGAGGTAGCTGTTGGCCCATTTAGCTTCACATCTCAGAACTCCTCCTTGCAACTCCAGTGGGAGCAATGCTGGTTAAGAATAACTGCTATGCCATCTTAAAGTTAACACTACCCGGATGATTAGCACATGCATTGCATTTATGAAAACCTATACATGAGAGCCCATGTGTCATGTCTCTCTGGACGCTTATCACAATCTCAAGAGGTGGGTAAGCAGGTGCTTCTCATGATTTCCTCCATCCTACAAATCAGGAGACTGAAGGGCCTTCATTCATTCCGTACCAGGAGATGTGTCTCTGTCCTCATCGGAGCCCCGGGGACCGGAGACAAACAAGAGACAGAGCTCTCGGCTCTCACGGGGCTCTCTTCTCCCGAGCTCAGAGAGATTAAACGGCCACCCAAGACCACACAGTGGGTCTGGACAGACCCAGGATGGTTTGGGTCCGGTCCCTGTAAGCTGCCTCTGCAATAGAAAACTGTGGGCAGATACTTTAGTTAATAGTTGGGGCACTTAGGAGCACTTTAATTTTCACAGTGCACGTAATAGTATTTCCGCTAACGGGACGGGAACGGCAAGGAAATTATTCAGGTGATTTTAGTTATCTTTCTCCTAAGTGAAAGCCCCTTTCTGATGAAATCTGACCTTAAAATGCTTCTCTCTCATGGTAATTATAAAGATATCCACCTTCTTTTCTTGAGTTTATTTTTTTGTCTCATTTTTATGCTGTGTCATGTATTTATAAAATGTATTTAAGGTTGGGAGTCTTCTTTTTGTTATTTCTATTATATCTGGAGTCAAAATATTACCATTGTGTAATTGAATGAGATGATTCAGAACCATTGCTCACAGGGGCATGGGGTGGGACCAGGGGAGCATCACTGTAACAGACACTGGATGGCGGAAGTGTAGGTGCCAGGTCCTGGGCCACCAGCGTGGCCTTGGGGCTCCTGGAGCTGTGCCCACCCCTACGCCCACCTGCTTGTCACCCCTGTAGGCTTATTCAGCATGACCCCTGCAGAAGCCGCCTTGGGGACCTGGGGGGCGCAGGCATGGCCCTGGCTGCAGGGACCCCACACCGCATGTGTTCCTGAGGCTGGGTGTGGGAATTGCTCCCTGGACTGCACCTGGCTGCAGCCTCTAGTGTCTCAGTAGAGTGGCCTTCAGAAGGAGGGCCTCACTCCACACCGGTGGTGCTGGGCTGAGGGGTGCACTGTGCCACCACCAGGCCCCCCAGGGAAGGCTCTGCCCTCCACCCACTGCCAGTGGGCGATGCATCCAGAGCGCCCTGTCCCCAGCCCTGCCTAAGTCTTCTCCACGGAACTTGGCCTTTTCCAATGCCTGCAGCGTGTGCCTCTGTCTGACGTCCCCTCTGCTTCTCACACTCGGGGACACTCTGCAGGGGCAGGGGAGAGGGGGTGACTGTGGAGAGCACAGGGGTGAGTGAAGCTACTGTGCTCAGTGTGTCTGTGCAGCAACATTTAAGAGTGCTGGGAGTGTCTGGCTGGGAGACAGCAGGTGCACAGGCCCCGTGGATGCTGGAACAAGCCTCTCTCTAAGGAGGCAGGAGATGGGGCGACCAGGGAGAGCCTGAGAATGCTGGCCTGCGGCCTGGAGGGTAACACCAAGGACAGTGCCACTGGCCACCTCGGTGCAGTGGGTCCGAGATGGGGGCAGCCTGGCTGGCTGGTGGGAGCCAATGGTTTATTACGTTAGTGAATGGAGTGATCTGGTCCCCTCCAAGGTGGAAGATAAAAAGCGATTTGGGATGAGATTCTTGGGACAGGTGTAACTTTGCAAGGGTCAAGGGGCAGGCAGGGTGACTGTGCCGGGGGCTGTGCTGAGTCCGAGAGGGCCTGGAAGGAAGGCCGTGCCCCAGGCCTCGCCCTTGCTGGGTCAGCTGGATAAAAACGGCTCTCTCAGATCAGCAGAGCGATTCTGCATCTGCACATTGATTTACAGTTTTGCGAAACTCATTTCTGAGGACGTAACAGTCCCTTCCTTGGGCACAATAACCTTGCCTTGCCATTGAGTTCTGCTGATGGGATTGCAGAAGTGTAAATCTTCGGACGTGGACCTTCTAGGGTGTGGACAATGTCTGCGTGGCCGTCCTCGCTGCCGGCGGCTCTCCAGTGTGCTGTCTGCTTTCCCTGCACACATGCACTCACACATGTGCACACACACAAATGTTGATTTTCAAAATCTTGGAGTAGGAAGACTTTACCATGGTTTAAAAAAATCCCCTGTTTTGTTTGGAGTCACACAGGGATCAAGATGATTTAGTTTTCAAAAAATAAAACAAAGCAAAACAGATGGCCCAGCTGGACGGCTGCTGGGTGCGTTCCTCTCTACCTGCCCCTCCCCTGGCGGCAGCGCCCTCCCCCTCTGAGTGCGGCTGTGATAGGCGGGTAGAGAGGGTGTGTCCGCGAGCCAGTGGTGATGATAAAACAGTAAACAAAAGATGCTCCCGTCCTCCTGGGGACACCAAGGGGAGAAAGTCAGATGGAGGAAGAGGCAGCCAGTGGGAAGGAGTCCTTTCGAGTTTGCTTTCTTGAGTTCTGGCCGCAAATTCCAGTATAGTGGCTTAAGATCCAGAGATTTTATTCTGTTATCTAATGGAAGTTGGGAGTGGTCCCCGAGGTGGGCCGGGAGGCAGGTGGGGATAGTGCATCCCAGGACCCCCGGGCAACAGAGCACGGCCCAGAGCCTGCCGGGCTGACACCCGCCCGAGCCTGAGCCCTCACTGACAGGTCCTCGCCTTCCTCCCCACAGAAGGGCTTTCGAGGAGGAAGAAGACGTCGCTGTGGTTTGTGGGGTCTCTGCTGCTGGTGTCTGTCCTCATAGTGACCGTCGGGCTGGCTGCCACCACCAGGACAGAGAACGTGGCCGTGGGCGGCTACTACCCAGGGGTCATCGTGAGTGCGCTGAGCGGGCGGCCTGGGCTGGGGAGGGCAGGGTGGTGTGTGGCTGGCTCAGGGTGGAACCCATGCCAGCTCACAGGGCTGGGGCTGAAGGTGGGGAGGCTTCGATCGGGGCTTGTGGTCGGCAGGGTTACGGCCCCCACAGACGTGCACATCCCGATCCCCAGGACCTGCGACGGTGGCAGGTCCAAGGCAGAGGGGGATTCGGGTTGAGGTCCAAGCTGACCGTAAAATAGGGCCAGGTGCCCTCCATTGTCCGGGTTGGCCTGATGCGGTCACAGGGTGACCAGGGCGTGGGACGGGGGCCAGAGCCCAGCGACGGGAAATGTCCAAGGTGGAGGAGGGGTTGGGAGCCGAGGATGTCCGAAAAGGCTGGACAGAGCCTCCCCCAGCGTCCCGGAAGGATTTTACCCTGAGGGACCAGGTCGACCACCATAGCCCATGGAACCGTGGAAGGGAAAAGTAACTTTAAATGATTCCTGCCAAGAAGCGATGGATCACAGATCGTATTAGTGACGCCATCACGTGGGAACGGCTAGAAGGTGGTGGTTCTGACCTCATCCACCCCGCAGGCCAGATTTTGGACAGTAAGGTGGCGAGGTAGATTGATGGTAACCTAATTGGCAAGAATTGGTCACCTGGATTCAAAAGTATCAAGGTTTTTTGAACTATGAAATTACATCCTCTGTCGTTAGCAAAAAGATTTGTCCTAAGTGCCTGCGTTCTGCACGGTGAACCTCTGTCGGAGTGGCCTGGATCTGCTGCAATGCCCTTCACGTGCCCCAGAGCCCGGTTGCTATGTCATGAAGTGCTAAAGCAAGATTTTAAAATGTGGCTTCTTCAATCTTGTTACTCTCACCTGAAGTACTACCAAGATTGGTAATAATATTGATGACAGTCAGCAAAGATGAAAGATTTTTGGCACTCAATATTTAGAAATATTTTACAAATATCATTTATTTCACTTTTATATTTTCCTTTGTTTAATCTTAAGGTGTACTTTATACGTCTACACTATCTACCTGTGTATAGTTTATAAATAAACGTATACAAATAGTATCTGTGCAGAAAAGGCTTTATCAGTAAAATTACAAGAGGCCAATGATGTGGGGACCCAGGTCTCATGCGAGGGGCTTTTCTGCTTCCTGGGCAGAGAGGGGAGCCCAGAGGGCAAGTGGCTGTGAGGAGGGACCTCCCAAGTGATTTGCAGAATATCAAGATCAACCTTGAGTAGCTGTTTTTTTTGTTTGTTCTCAAGCTTATTTAAGAGCTCCCTCAAAATACCGTAATCAAAAACATCAATGACTAATGCTCGAGCTGTGCTCTATACAAAATCTGCTTGCTGGGCGGTGAATTAACGCTGTGCTGACCAGATTGAAATGACTTTAGCCCAGACAGTTCTGAGAGCCAACTAGGGAGACGACAAATCAAATCAGCCTCAAGGAAACGTGGCTAAGAGTCACTTCTGTGGAGACTCGTGCCAATGTAGAGGCTTCAAAGAAAAAGGTGATCTCAGAAGAAGCAGCCGGAACATGAAAACATCTCAACATTTTGAAGAAAGGTGTGTTTTTTTTTCAAATCCCCCCAAAATAAAATGTAGTGAAACATTAATACACGTACATTGAAGTGAAATTTTGATGTTTTTGAACTGTGGCGTTGAACTGTGGTATTTTGAAGCTCAGCACATGAAGACATGTTCCTGTTATCCCTGGAGAATTCTCAAACCATTGGTGAAAGCCACATGTGTACATGTCTGTCACCACAGACGCACAGACACAATTACAGAAAAGTCAAAACTACTTACATAAAGGAGTCCGGTTTCCAGTGCATTAAACTTCACACCACGGCCCCAGGAACTCCCAGGCTGTGCAGTCGGGCCGCCCCTTCCAACAGATGCTCACGGGGAAGTGTAACCGGCCCGGCTCACCTGCATGCAAGTAGGGGCCGTCTTAGCCTCGGCACGATCGTTGGCAGCTCCGAGTTGTCTGCGGGAGGCACTTTAGCCGGCGGCTCTGAACCGGATTTTCGGTGGGTGTTGCTGAAACGCATATTCTTCGCACTGATTTTAAAAATTCCTCTGCCAGGTGTGCGTCACCTGCCAGGACGGGCCCTGGGTGGAGGGTGCGGGTGCCCGGCCGCTGGCCTCTATTCTAAGACAGCACAGTCCCATGTCTATTTCCCAACATCCCGGCCTCATTTTCTGCCCAGAGCTGGGGCTTCCTGTGGAGCAAGGGGGCTCCACCGGACCCCTGGTGGCCTGTGCTGCAGCCCGGGGCTGCTCTGGAGCCCTTTCCCCACACCAGGCACCTCCCCGCTGACGGCCTGCCCTGCTCACTCTCCCGAAGCAGCAGCCACAGGTAGGCCATCTGAGCAGGTGTCACAGGTGACCCTGGTGCCTGGCAACCCTTCTTTTGAAACACAGCTGTAGTTCCCTAATGCCTTACCCAGGAGCCATGCTCAGGGGCATCTCAGGCCCAGAGAAGACGGGGCAGATGTTGGTGCTTGGTGGCCTTGGGTCTCCGAGAAGGTGTTGTCTCTGGGGGACGAGTGGGATCCTCTTTTACCGCACAGTCGCAAGCCAAACGGACACATCATTAAAAACCCTTGAGTAGAGAAGACAGGATGGGTGATGTTGCAGAGACGCCCGCCCGACGCCAGCAGATGCACCTGATATTCAGTGGTTGAGGTTCTTGAGGTGGGGATGTCTGGCCTTCGTCCCTGGATAAAATGCCTTTGAGGGTGGGATTTTTTGCTGTTAAATGTCAGTGTTAAGCTTCCAGGAATGCTAATGAGTGTTTCTCTCTTGTTCTTCCTTTGGTTTTAGCTCGGCTTCGGATCTTTCTTAGGAATTATTGGCATCAACTTGGTGGAGAATAGAAGGCAAATGGTGAGAAAGTACATTGCTTCTTTCTAACGTGGGGAGGTGGGGATCGTGAGCCCTTCATTGGGGACGGTACAGCTGCGCTGGGGCTCTGAGAAGAGTTTGCCCCGCCTCCCCAACACATTGGTGTCTACGGGACCAGCTCTGAGGTTCCCGGACTGTGGCCTGCACAGTCCTGGGTGCAGGGTTCAGCGGGTGCCATTCACACCTTAGTCTAAACGAGCATGGCCCTGGGTTGCTGGTGCATCAGTCTCACGTGGTGTGCAGCCACCAGCGGCGAGGGCTGCGAAGCTCAGGGAGTGCGTGAAGTTTGGGACGGGGGCGGCAAATTAAGTTAAGTCCTGGTGTGTAAAGTTCAGGCAAAAACATGTGCACAAGCCTCTCTTCCTTTTGAACCAATGGCTCTAGAGTCCTGTTTTTCATCTGAGTTGGGCTAATGTTTATCTTGCCCAGACTAAGAGGAGCGGTAAAGACATAAAACCAGGAGGGAGCCCCTGGTTCACACAGCAACAATGCAGAGTGAAATCTAGATGCTGCCAGTCCGTGATGTTAGTGGCTGCATGCGTGGCAACAGCGATCAGGTTCAGCTGGAGTCCGTTTTGTTGACGCACTGCTTTGGGGACTGTAACTTTATAAACAGAAACTGGTTAATGTTAAGAGCATTGTTTAGAGGGGAGGTGTTTGGGCCACTTTTGCCTCATCTCCCAGTTGTTGCCTCAGACCAGGCTGGAGTTCTCATCTCTTCCCTGTGCTGGCTGTCATCTTATTGTATCATCCAGTGTGCAAATGACCTGTGTTGGGTCCCCAACCCCTGCCTGTTCCCAGTTCCCAGGCCGAGAGGGAGGGTGCGATGGCTGGGCCGTGGTGTGTGCCCTCGGAACCCTGTGTATCCTCGGAACCCTGTGTATTAGTCTGTTTTCACGCTGCTGATAAAGACACGCCCAAGACTGAGTAATTTACAAAAGGAAGAGGTTTAATTGGACTTACAGTTCCACGTGGCTGGGGAAGCCTCACAATCACGGCAGAAGACAATGAGGAGCAAGTCACATCTTACGTGGATGGCAGCAGGCAAAGAGAGAGCTTGTGCAGGGAAACTCCCCCTTGTAATAACCATCAGATCTTGTGAGACTTACTATCATGAGAACAGCATGGGAAAGACCTGCCCCCATGATTCAATTGCCTCCCACCAGGTCCCTCCCACAACACACGAGGATTCAAGGTGAGATTTGGGTGAGGACACAGCCAAGCCATATCACCCCATATGGGACCCAGCAAACTCCCACTGCTGCCCAGGAAACTGACCCTTGGGCAGATGGAGCCTTATCGTGTGAGGGTGGGAGGTCCCTGGAGGGTTGGGGGGTGGCTGCAAAGACAGTGGGATTCTGGTAGAGCAAAGCGTTCTGTTCTGTATATTGGAGACAGTGTGCACTGCAGGGTGAGCTGCCGTTCTTCGCTAGCAGTTGCAAAGAGATGGAGAGATAGCCCCGGCATTTCCTCTCCCACCCACCCCCTGTTGTTGGCTCCCGACTGTGGGTGTCACAGCTGACCAGGGTGGGCAAAGGCCTCACACACACCAGTCTGCAGAATGGCGTTGGAAACAGAGGCCACCTTTGGGAGCCAGTATGCCCCCATGATGGTCTCTAGACAGCATCTCTTCAGAGTCTGGGGCTGCTTGGTGCCTGCAGGGAGTTGAGTGGACTTGGGGATGGAAGGCCTCCTGAAGGTTTTTCCGTAAGATTTCCCCAGAGAGGCAGAAGCTGGGTATGAAGTTGGGCTTTGGCGATGCAAGGGTGGGTGGGCAGTGTGGGTCTGTTTTTCTTTCCTTTTTAAAAAATGGCTTTAATGAGATATAGTCCACATTCCATGTAACTCAGCCATTGAAAGCACACAATTCAATGGTTTTTAGGTATTCGCAGATACGTGAACCATCAGCACAGCCAGTGTTAAAACATGAATCACCTCAGCAAGAAACCCACACCCTTCTGTTAGCACCTACCTACCCAGCCTAAGCAACCAGGAATCAACTCCTGTCTCTGTGGATTCCTACTCTGGGCTTGCGTGTGAAGGGAGTAATGAGTGATATGTGGTCTCTGTGTTTGGTGTCTGGCACTGCGCATTGTGTCTTTAAGCTTCCTCTGAATTTCCTTGCTTTCTATGGCTGAATAATAATCCACTATATGGGCCAGACACGGTGGCTCATGCCTGTAATCCCAGCACTTTGGGAGGCCAAAGTGGGTGGATCACGAGTTCAGGAGTTCAAGACCAGCCTGACCAACATGGTGAAACCTCATCTCTACTAAAAATACAAAATTAGCCGGGCGCAGTGGTGCGCACCTGTAATCCCAGCTACTCAAGAGGCTGAGGCAGGAGAATCACTTGAACTTGGGGGGCAGGGGTTGCGGTGAGCCGAGATTGCGCCATTGCACTCCAGCCTGGGTGACAGAGCAAGACTCTGTCTCAAATAATAATAATAACAATGATAATAATAATAATAATCCACTGTACAGATGTGCCACACTTATCCATTCACCAGTTGATGGACATTACAGCTGTTTCCACCCTTTAGCGCTTGTGAATAATGCTGCTGTGAACATTTGTACATAAGTTTCTGTGTGAAAATGCATTTTCATTTCTTTTGGGCATGTACCTAGGAGTGGAACTGCTGGGTCATACAGTAATGCTGTTTAATCGTTTGAGGAATTGCCACACTGTTTTCCAAAGTGGCTGCCCTATGTTACATTCCCACAGACAGGCATGAGGGCTCCAGTTGCTCCACTCCCTCACCAGCACTTGTCACTCTCTGACTGTTATTGATTCTAGCCATCTAATGTGTGTCAAGTGGTATCTCATCGTGGTTTTGATTGCATTTCCCTGATGATTAGTGAAGTTGAGCATCTCTTCATGTGCCTATGACCATTTGCATATGTTCTTGGAAAAATGTCTGTTCATTTCCTTTGCTCATTTTTATATTGGGCTGCCTTTTCCTGTTGAGTCGTCAGAGTCATTTATGTATTTTAGAAACAAGTCCCTTCTCAGATATGTGATTTGCAAATATTTCTTCAAATTCTGTACATTGCCTTTTCACTTTCTTAATGGCGTCCTTTGAGGCACAAAAGTTTTTAATTTTGATGAACTCTGATTTGTTTTTTCTTTTGTTGTCCATGCTTTTGGTGTCATACCTAAGAATCTTTTGCAAATCTAAGGACATGAAGATTTACCCCTAGAGTTTTCTAGAAGAGTTTTGTAGTTTTAACTCTTCCATCTGGGTCTGTGATCCACTTTGAGTTTACTTTTGTGTATGGTATGAGGTAGGGGTTATTATAGTTTTAACTCTTCCATCTGGTTCTGTGATCCACCTGGAGTTAACTTTCTTCATGGTGTGAGGTAGGGACCCATGTTCATGCATTTGTGGACATCCAGTTGTCCAAGCACCATTTGCTGAAAAGACTGTTCTTTTCTCATTGAATGGTCTTCACACCCTCGTTGAAAATTAATTGGCCATAGATATATGGGTTTATTTGTGGACTTTTAATTATATTCTTTTAATCTATATGTCTTTGCTTGTGCTGGTACCACAGTCTTGATTACTGTAGCTTTATAGTTAGTTTGAAATAAGGGCTTGTGAGTCTCCCAGCTTTGTTCTTTTTCAGGATTATTTTGGCAATTCGGAATCCCTTGCCATTCCATATGAATTTTAGAATCAACTGATCAATTTCTACAAGGAAGCCAGCTGGGATTCTGGTAGGGATGTGTTGATTCTGTAGCTCAGTGTAGGGAGTGTTACCATTTTAATGTTAAGTATCCCAATCCACGAACATGGAATGCTTTCCCATTATTTAGACCTTCTTTAGTTTTTAAAAACAATGTTTTGTAGTTTTTAGAGTGTAAGTTTTGTGTCAAATTTACTTATTCTTCAGTATTTATCAAATGAAGTACTTACTGAATTAAATTTATTCTTAAGTACTTTATTCTTTTTGAGGCTATTTTGAGTGGAATTGTTTTCTTAATTTAACTTCTGGGTTGTCCATTGCAAGTGTTTAGAAATATAATTGACTTTTTATGTTGATCTAATATCTGCAGCCCTGTGGAACTCATTTCTTTGTTCTAGTAGTTCTTTAAAAAATTGATTCCTTAGGATTTTTTTTATCTACTAGAGTATGTCAAATAGAAACATTTTTGCTTCTTCCTTTCCAGTCTGGATGCAGGGGGACCATTTCTATGGCTTCGGTAAAAGCACATGGATACTGGAATGACAGGATAAAGACCCAGGAGTGACGACCACTGCCAGAGCCGTGTGGTGTTCACCTGTCCATGGGCTTCCCTCACCTGGGTGAGGAGGGCACCCGGATGCCCCAGACCAGAGCCTCTGAGGGGTTGTCTGTGATGCCTGTGCAAGCTCATTTCTGCCTTTTCAGGAGAGGGATTCTTCTGGGTTAATGTTGTATAGTGAACCCATATTTCACAATCTCACATTGATTTAATACTTGTGGTAGCTGGAACCTGGATGCCGTGACTGCTGTGTGATCCTAGGAAACTTACTGAAGTATTTCAGCCTCAGTTTCTTCATTTGCATGGTGGCTGGGAACATTTGAGCCAATGCACATGAGAATGTCTTGTTCATGACAGGTTTCGAGAAAACAGTGGCCCTTGCTCTACACTGGTTTTAAGTGCATAGATGTCAGAACATTCAAGTTATTTCAAAAGGCAGCAAGGCAGGCTGTGAATGTCAGCTAGAAAGAGAACGAGTGTATTTCCAATGCTTCCAGATATACATGAACACTTTTTTTCTCGATTTATTATTTTAAATTTTTACCATTGAAAGCTTTGCGCACATACAAGGGTGAAGAGAATTGCCTAATGAACCCGCTGTGCCCCCCACCCAACTCCATCACTTGTCTGGTTCACCCCCAGCCTGCTTCTTCTCTTCCCGTGTTGTTTAGAAGCAAATGCCAGACATGGCATCATTTCATTTATAAAGATTTCACTCTGTTCACTTAAGGGATGGA